TGCATACTGAATTATACAATTATTATTATTATTATCAACCAGGAAATTAAAAATCTGTCATCGGCTAGCCGGTCGGCCGATTCCATCCCTAATTGTGAGGGCAATTAATTGCAATTTTTTGAACTCAATTAATTGATTGGTGGCGCAGTCAAAATGAGTCAATTAATTGCAATTTTTGTGTGATGAATTATTTGCGTGACGAATAAGAGTTCAATAATACGTTTTATTAGTAAATCCTTATTTGTCATATATAATGATTCATCGCAACCACGTAGCAAATAGTAATTAATTGCAATTATTTTCGTCGTTTCAATTAATTTTATGATAATTTAAATTGATTTTAATTTTATGACGTTTAACAAAAATTAATTTTAATTGATTTTTCGGTAGGCCTGGTTTAAGGATTCTGCTCAAATCTAATAATGGTATAATAATTTAATACTTTTACTTGTAGTTAAACTTTATATTTTATATATATTTATATTTATTTATTTATTCCTAGGAAAACTTTATAGTCATTTGGCAATTCTCGCTGGACAAGATGAGTTTAAAACGTTATTTTATTATTGTAGAAGGTACGCATATATATTTATTAGTGTAATCTTTTAATTTTATATTATTTATTCATTATTATATATGGCCGCTCGTGAGTCACTTATTTAGTCATTCGAATCAAATCTTAAACGTTTTGAAACTCTCGTAACAAGCAATAATAAACAAAAGCAAAAAAGCCGTACATATATGCAACGTGAAACTTTACATTCTTCAAATAAACAATGTGATAATCTGAATAATCAATCAATTGAGTATATCAGATTACATGGAATGCTTTTTACCAAAGATAGTCTTGAATTTTTTGATGATCGGATTTTAGAAATATTTATAGATAAATTATTCAGATTGAAAGATATTCAGAGTTATAAGTGGCTGGAATTTTGCATGCGAATGGTGGTCATTAATATATCAAGCTTATACAACTATGGTAATACCGAAAATTCGTCTCTCAGGCTAACCACATCAACTAATATGGATTTTAATCAAATTCTAGATTTAGATCCAACATTTGCTGAAGAATCTAGGCTCACTTTTACTGTAATGTATCAATTCATGTTTAAATATCTTGACTCTATATCGCTTCAGGGTGAAGTCGATATTTCTGAGGGCTTGCTTTTATATTGTGAGATCGTGTTACTTTGGATGGTAGCAAATGATGTTTTTAATAACTTTGCAGAAAAATCCAATAATTGTATTTGGAGAAAATTTTTGGACAAATCTATTTGTCCTGGTTTTTAGGATACTTTGGTTTGATTCCTCATAGAAATTGCCTTTCAAGTATCTCCATTTACCATAAAAGAAATTATAGAATTTTCATCAAACATTGAAGATTCAAATTATATAGATCGTCTTCGTCCTCCTCCATTGGGAATTACGTGGTAGTTCTTGGCTTCAGTCACTTTATGAACCTTATATGTTTGAACATGTACCTAAACCATATATAAAATTTGTGGATGATGACATTGAACTTGTCACAATAATATTAATGATGATTTGAATCTGATTTCTAATCAAGATTCTAAAAGTCGTCGTAGAGCAAGGATTATGGAATTGGGTTATCTGTTAACTAAGGTAATTTAATTCGTTCATTTACTCATATAATTTATTCATATTTCTTTATCAAGGATTAAAGTAATATTTACTGTTTAATATATATGGTTTTACAGAAAATCATTGGTTTAGATTTTAATATTGAAGATCACTTTTACGTCTTCCTTAAAATTAGTTGATGAAATCACAATGAGTCAGACGACGAAGGGATTATGGAATTGAAAGGATGTCTTTATTTATATAAATATTTATGTAAATATTCACGCTATAGACATTATATTACGTTACCTATTCTATTTAGTCTCGAAAACAAGAATTAGAGAATCTTTTAGCTGCAACTCGTGAGGTTCTTCAACACAAAAATTTTCGTCAAAGAATTCCAAGGAAAATACCTCTCATGCAACGAAAAAGGTGACACCACCTTCGTCTTCTAGAATTGCTACAGGATATACTAAAATTGTGACAGATACCAATTGCCTTATCGAGGATCTTAATATGGTCAAAAAAAAATCATCCAAAGTGATAATTGTACTTTTGGTTGGTAAGTAAATATTAAATATTAGTGTTCTGTAGAAGATCGGACCGATCTGATTCGCTGGTGGATCGAATTCGGATCCACATAGAGGATCCGAACACTAGTTAATATAATAGAAACACTTGAGTTTTGTTTTATTTTATTTCGTTTATTTAATTTTTTTCCTATTCTCATATTTATCACGGAATTGGATGGGTTAAAACTTAACCCACCCCCTCTTGGTACTGCAGCATCCGAGGCAATTACTTATCTTGAACAAGCTTTATTATTGTCTAAAAAACTCAGAGTTCAGACAAGGCAATTATGTATCTGGAATTAACTTTAGTAAGAATTTGATTTTGGTGAAGAAAATAAAAAGAAAAATTTGGATGATCTTATTCTTGGCATCTGTCTGTGGCATACCAAGAATCACGGGGATAACGGTTTTCATAACAAATCAGGAAAAGGAAGCAATAATGATGAGGCGGTTGTATTGCTTACAAATGATCGAAACCTTCGAGTCAAAGCGCGAGCAAGAGGTGTTGAAGTTGTGAGTACGCGCAAAACTAACTAGAAATGGATTTATAAACCGAGATCAGGTTAGGATTGAATAGATATTTATATAGTACAAAAAAGATGGATGATTAGTAATTTGATTGGCTTGATAAACCTTATACCATATGGGCTTCTGGTGGTAATAAGTTTTATTTAATGA